TTTATCCTTGACCTTTATGAAATGGAATTTGATGGCTGCCTCGCTCAACTCTTCTTCATCCACACATTCTCTTCCACGGGCTCAGGAATCTTGTTGGCCATGGCCTTTGACCGCTTTGTGGCCGTCAGTCACCCTCTGCAATATACCACCATACTTACCAACTCACGAGTCACCAAAATGGGGCTGGCAGCCTTGCTGAGGGGTGTAGCACTCATGACTCCATTGCCTGTCCTGCTCAAGAGGCTACCTTTCTGCAGGGGCCAGACATTCTCCTATTCCTACTGTCTCCACCCAGATGTCATGAAGTTAGCCTGTGGCCAAGTCAAAATCAACATTTTATATGGGCTGGTTTTGGTTATCTTTTCTTTTGGGGCTGACTTTTTGCTAATAGTCATTTCCTATGCTCTGATATTCAAAGCAGTTCTGGGCATTGCTTCCAGAGATGGCCAGATGAAGGCACTCAACACCTGTTTGTCTCACATCTTTATTGTCCTGATTTACTATGGACCTCTCCTAATATTAACTGCAATTCATCGAGTCAGCCACAGAAGTTCTCCATTAGCACATGCAGTTCTAGGAAATATCTTCCTCTTGATGCCCCCGATGGTCAACCCAATTGTATACAGCCTGAAGACCAAGCAGATTCGTGCTGCCCTGAAGAAATCCTTCCAGATCCAGAGACACTGAAGAATTAGAGAAGTTAATAGTTTAGGTGGGGGGGCAAAGAAAACTCAACTTTACAGTCGTTTACATATAGCTAAACTTTGCTGCATTTTTAGATTTAGGATATGGGTATATGATGAAATTTTAAAAATTATGTTTTTTGAAAAAAATAAAGACATATATATCCCGTAGGACCTAATGCTATTTCCAGGTAGATGTGTCAGAATTGAATTGAATTAAAAGACGTTGTAGCTGGTGTCTGCTGGATAATTGTTTAATGAGTGGAGAAAAACCTTCATACATTTGCTGTCAGAATAGTTCTATACTATATAAAGCGACTGTTGGGAAGAGAAAAAGCCACTTAGGTTTTTTTTTTTTTTTCCTGTATGTTTAAAGTGTATGTGTGTCTGAGAGAGAGAGAGAAAGAGAGAGAGAGAGAGACAGACAGACAGACAGACAGACAGAGAAAGAGAGAAAGAGAGAAATTTATAAAGAAAAAAGAACAAAATAAAATACCCTCCATTTTAAGGGGATTCAAAAATTAAAAATCTAACAATAACTGAATGTCAAATAATTTCAAAAAACCTATGTGAAATGATTTTCTGATCCATCATCAGTGTGACTCTATTGTGATAGTAGTATCAAGTTGGTAGGAATCAGTCTATGCCAAGCAGAACACGTTAATGCCCTGAAAGAAGATAAAATTGGCTAAAAGACAATTAATTTTCATTAAATAAGAGAATAAATATACAAATTAATGCTAATTAATTAAATGTAACTCTGATATCTACCAGGATCCTTTGTCTTCCTCTCTTCAGACTATCTTCTTTTGTGACACTCTACTACTTGCACTTCCTCCAAGCAAAACCCTCTGTTTTATTCCCATGTCTTTGTACATGCTACTAACTTTGCCTAATGTACTTAATCCACTTTTCCCTGTTTCTTGTGATTTTTCACTCATTTTATCATCTCTCATCCCCTCCAGGAAATCTTTATTGACTCTTAAGCTGGGTTTAGTTGCCTGTTTTATAAATTTTATAGGATTCTGACATTACCTCTGTCTAGCTATGTACCGGGTATCAACCATTCACTTCTCTGCCTCTCCCAATAGGCTCTATTCAAATCAAAAGTAATTTGCCTAGATTCCAGAAAATATGCAACACATCATTAGCCTCTAAAAAATTATTAAAATAAAAAGTTAGAAAAAAGGAAAGGAAAAAGATATCGGTAGTCATTTGGCAGACACGATGGAATTTGTTAAATTTAGCCAACAGATTTATTTATTTCCACCTTCTATTTTCCAGGCCCTTATGCAGACAGACACTAGAAATACATTTATGAACAAGAGAAAAGAAATTTTTACTGTTTTGGAATTTGTTGAGATCATCCACCATCTGAATGTCCAGACCACAATCTCAGGCTGAAGGAAGAGGAGAGACTCTTTTCATTTCGAAGAGTTCCTGTACCTCTCCAAACCTCTGTATTTATTGCAGAGAAAGGCATGCAGAGTCAAAGCAAAGAACATATAGACAGAATGTTTGGAAGGAGCATATAGATAAAAATCTCTGGTGTCAGTAAACACATTATTCTAAAGAAATCTAGTTAGTAATATGCAGCATATCCATATTAATCTTGGGATTCCTTGTGACTCCTTAAGGCTATAAATAAAGGGCCAGGACCCAACATCAGTCACACTCCCATGCATTCCAAAGCCTGCTGCATGCAGCTGGCTGATAAGCATTCATAACCCAAGTCCTATTTGCAGGGCTACCAGATTTCCACCTTTCTCACAGTCCTTTTACCCAGGCTTTTATGCCTTTTCTAATATCTTCTCAGAATTTACATCTTCATCAATGAAGAAAGAGGGAAAAATCAAGGCACTTTCCATTCTTGTCTGTTGGCTCAATCAAAATTATCTTCTCTATATTTTCTTATATAAATATACAGCCCTTTCTTTTCACATGTCCATTTTCTCCCTCTCCAAATCACAGCACGTGCTATTATGTTTTCTCTTAGTCTATCCTCAGACTATCTACCTGAACATCCACTAGGAAATAAGCATGCCTTCTACAAACAGTATTCCCTCTTCAATCACTAAGGGGGAACATAGTGCTTCCTAATGTGTATTCCCTGGCCATCAGATGGCAATGCCTCGGCCTAGCTGTGCCAAAGAAATGTAAATATGGTATCCTGGGAAAGGCATCTGGAAGCTAGCATTTTGCATGGTTTTAAACATGACATAAATGTTATCATACTATGTGATCATTATATATCTTTCTTTTCTCAACCAATATTATATTTGAGAAAGTTATTTATGTAGATATATTACTTATGTATATATAAATATGTAGTCAAAGTATAAAGAAATGTTTAGGACTAATAAATACCAAATTCAGAATAATGTTTATCTCTGGGAAGAATAGGAATGCTCAGGGTGTTTCAACTATATTATAATGCTGTATTTATTAAGCTGAATCACAGGTGTATGGAAATTTGGGATTTCTTTGGAAATGATTTAAAAGTTACAGAAAAATTACAAGAATAAGAATAGTACACAGAGCACCCAAATAGTCTTTACTATGATTCACCTATTGTTAACATTTTGCTCCCCTTGTTTTAACATTTGTCTTCATGCACTAGGACACAGTCTCTTGTGAGTTCTCTCTCTCATTCTCTCTCTTCCTCCTTCTCTTTCTTTCCACCCTCCCTTCAACATACAATTTTTTTCTTATCCATGTCAGTGTAGGTTCATACATCATGACATTTACTCCTAAATATTTCAGCATGTTTTTCTTAATAAAAAAGATATCCTTTTACATAACAATAAAATATTTTAAATCTAACCTTTTATCTGTAATCCAATTTTATCAATTGAGTCAATATTTTTAAAGAGCTCTTTTCCTTTAATCAAAATTCATTCTAGGATCTGATATACCATTTAGTTTTCATGTTCCTTTAATCTCATTCAATATGGATCATTTCACAACTTCTTTTTTTTTTTTTTTTTTTTAAGACAGAGTCTCGCTTTGTTGCCCAGGCTAGAGTGAGTGCCGTGGCGTCAGCCTAGCTCACAGCAACCTCAAACTCCTGGGCTCAAGCAATCCTCCTGCCTCAGCCTCCTGAGTAGCTGGGACTACAGGCATTCGCCACCATGCCCGGCTAATTTTTTGTATATATATTAGTTGGCCAATTAATTTCTTTCTATTTATAGTAGAGACGGAGTCTCGCTCTTGCTCAGGCTGGTTTCAAACTCCTGGCCTCCCAGAGAGCTAGGATTACAGGCGTGAGCCACCGCACCCGGCCCCACAACTTCTTTTTTATTGAAGTTCATAGATCATAAAATTAACCATTTTAAGTTGAAAAAAATTTGGTGGAATTTAATACATTCATGATGTTGTATGCAGATGTCCGCCTCTATCACTTAACAAAACGTATTTATCACTCCAAAATAAAACCTCAGACATATTAAGCAGTTACTCATCATTCCCACCTCCCCCTATGTTCCAGAAACCATCAATCAACTTTCTATTTCTATGGAGTTACCTAATCTGAATGTTTTATATAAATATAATCATATAATATGTGGCCTTTTGTGTCTGGTTTCTTTCACACAGCATGTTTTGGAGGAACAGCAATGTTTTGGAGGATCACCTATGTTGTAGTATGTGTCAGTATTTCATTTCATTGGATAGCTGAATAATATTACATTGCATAACTATATATATAAAAACATATATACAGTGATATACAAACATATACATACACCCAAAACAATTTTTTACACATTCGTGAATTGAGTGATCAACTTTCCATGAAAAAAATCAAATTTCGTTTAATTATTAATTTTTAGTTTCTAATACCTAAAGAATACTAAAAAATATTTGTAAGCTTTTTCTAATTTTCAAATGTTTCCCTTGTGTTAGTAGATGATTCATTGGAAGCATAATTTAAAATATATAAAACTAGATTATTATTTTTCTTTGTGTTGAATAATCCTGGATTAATTATAGTTTTCTAGAAAATGAATGTTAAATGCTTTGTTTCTATAGTCTTTCAATTTACATATTCCATGTGTTTCTTTGATAAAGACAGGAAAAATACATATATTCTACACAGATCTCCACTTATACTCTTATTTCACAAGTGGTAAAGTGACACATTTGGCATTTTTTCTCTTAGAAAATAACCAACAATACCACAAGCTTATTGGCATATAAGAATAAAATATCTCAATTCTCACAAAACCATACCTTGACGTGATGACATATTCCCCAGAGAGAAGCAGACACATGAAAGAAGAAGAGTCACGGTATCGTTTTCACTAAGGCCATACTTGACTAGTTGAGCAAGTGTCCTCTGGCCTTCATTATCTTATGTACTGCTGCCCTTATCTGTTTAGTTTTGAGGCTATAAACCAAGGGGTTAAGGACAGGAGTCAAAAAGAGGAAGAGATTGGCCATGGTGACATGGAGAAGAGGCGATGTGAATTTACCAAACCTATGAATAAGTGCCAGCACAATGAGAGGCACGTAGAAGATGAAGACAGTGAAGATGTGAGATACACAAGTATTAAGTGCCTTCAGCTGACCATGTTTTGAGGCGATACCCAGCACTGTTTTCAAGATCAAGATGTATGAAATGACAATGAACACAGAGTCAACTCCAAAGGAGCAGATGACCAGGGACAACCCATAGATGATGTTGATTCTGACAGGGCCACAGGCCAGCTTCATCACATCAGGGTGGTAGCAGTAGCAGTGGGATAGGATGACACCTTTGCAGAAGGGCAGTCGCTTGAGCAGGATTGGCAAGGGGACCATCAACGCCACTCCCCTACCTGCAGCTGCAAGCCCCATGCGAACAATCCGAGGGGAAGTTAAGACGACAGTGTAGTGCAGCGGGTTGCGAATGGCTACAAACCGGTCAAAGGCCATGGCCAGCAGGATGGCTGACTCCATGGATGAGAAGGTGTGGATGAAGAACATCTGTGTCAGGCAACAGTGGAACTCGATCTTCCTGAGATTCAGGAGGAAGACATTGAGTACTGTGGGCAGAGTTGATAAAGACAGACCCAGATCTGTAGCCGCCAGCATAGACAGAAAGATGTACTGAGGCTCATGAAGGCTCGGGGTGGTTTTGATAACAAAGAGGATGATGCAGTTCCCCAGGAGGGCAACAAGGTAGATGGCGCACAGCGGGACAGAGATCCAGACTTGTGTAGCTTCCAGGCCAGGGATGCCTGTTAGAAGGAGAGTGGAGGGTTGAGACCAGCTACGGTTCATAAGCTCCATCAGGATATTTCTTGAAATCCACCCCAGATCAGCTTCCAAATGCTATTGATGGGAAGAAAGAAATCCATAAATTTTAAGATAGAAAGATATAATGAATCTAATTTCTTTGTGGTAACATTAATGCCCAGTAAATATAAACGAAGGTATTGATGCTTAGAAGTTTTCCAAACCTATCTGAATAACTATCTGGAGTTAGGTCAATAGATAATTGCTATTAATATGAAAGAGATTGCTGGGTGTAGTAGGAGGCAGAGCTGGGAGGATCACTTGAGGCCAGGAGTTCGAGACCCACTTGAGCAACATAGTGAGACCTCATCCCTAAAAAAATAGAAAAATTAATGAGGCATGGTGGTGCATGCCTATAGTCCTGGCTACTAGGGAGGTGGCTAATGCAAGAGGATTGCTTGAACCCAGTAGTTCAATGCTACGGTGGACTATGATCTGATTGCATTGCACTGTAGCCTAGGCAACAGAGACAGACCCTGTGACTGAAAAAAAAAAATAAAAAAGAAAGGTAGGGGCAAGTAGAATTATCTTTGTGCTCAAACACGTGACCATTGATCAAGTGAAAATAAAAATTAAGGACATAATTGTATCTTTTTTCCCAGTGCTTAGAAACATGTCACTCCTAGCATGCTTTTCCTTTCCTGGTAATTTTAAGTATGTTTTCATATACTTTGTTTTCAGTAATCTTTGGAGAAACTTTGAAAGAAGTTCCTGTACTTCATCTCTCATCAACGTCATACCTATAAATAGGCATCTGGAAATGTGCATTTTTCCTAGTATTTCTACCTGTAGAAATAAAGCATAAAATATTCAATAACCCACAAAAACCCCAAGTCATTCTTGTTAACTTCATGGGATACCATTTATTCTACAAAGTATTTCAACATTGTTTGATGCTTTCTTTTCATATGATATCTTGATTTGTTTCAAAGGAGGATATTTATCAAAATATGTGAGTGATAAAATCATTAAAGTATTAATGTTACTTCTCAGCTGATGCTAGAATAAAAATAAACATCAATCAATAATTACTTGAAGAAATTTGAAATATTGCTACTTTAATATATACATATAATATGTTAGGAAGCAATAAATATCTTAATAAATGTACAAAAAAGCATGATTAGAGGAAATTGTGTCAATATCTTCTACAAAGAAGGTAAGAGGGATAATATTTATTTTTGGTTGAATATGTTTAGATTTCAGTGTTTTGTTTAAATTTGCAGATTGCCCTATAGAAACAGAAAATAACTGAATCAAGTACATTTAGATATGGGGGACAGCATAGGAAGGAACATAATATAAATGAACAAAACTCTTATCTAAAAGAGCAGGAAATCCAAACACAATGTCTTTTGTAGAATCATGTTATTTAAAAATATAAACAAAAGAAAGAAATGCCAGAGGAAAAATTGAACAGAAGTTAATGAAGGATTCTTCTCAGGAATAGAGCTAAAGACAGAAAGGCTTGGTACAAAAGACTGTTCTTTTTTTGCTGTCAGCCAAAAATAGAAATTGTGTACTGTTTTAAAACCATGCAAATATAAAATAACAAAATAATCTTTTTACTGGTGTCAATATGTCTTTGAGAAGCAGATCACAAATGAATCTCAATTATGTATTTCTATCCATTGCCATGTAACCCTATACTTGTTCACTCTGCCATTCACATGTTCTCAGTACTGAATATCTTCTATATCCTGCTACATTTCATAGTATAACCAATAAAGAGAGTTTTACAAAGCATGTCCTATTAGATGAGGGAAGGTTGCAAGTAACATATATAACCCTTAACAAAGAGGCCAACTTCTTAGGGACTTAGAATACTAAGGGCAAGTGTAGCTTTATAAAATTTTTTAACTGCCCATGTGAAGTACCAGAGTTACTTGTGTTGAAATAAAAATAAAGAAGTCATTGTGTCTAATAGACTGAGCCATGCAACCACCCCACAAACACTACCCACATCTAGTCACTCAACACACTTCCTGCCACACTCAAAGAACTATCTTATAAAACATAAAATTCTGAGTTCCCACAGCATGCCATGCAACTCCTTTAACCCTTTGCATTCAGATGTCGAGTGTGAATAATGTTGAGTGGATAATGAGAAAAAAGCAAGCGAGTGCAAAGGGTTAAATATATTAAAGATACATACATACATTTACTGCAGATTCATACATACACATAACTCACTCTCCCTTTTTTCAACTTTCTTTTTTTTTGTTTTTGTTTTTTTAGGCTGGTTTCAAAATATTTTTCATTATAAGTGTTTTAGGTTACATGGATCTTTTCTTGTTTGCTTTAATTCAGAGTATTTACAGGGGTATACATATTTTGATTACATGAATAGCTTTTGTGCCATTGAGTCAAAGTTATAACGTGCCCATAACCAAGATAGCGTGTATTGTACGCTAGGTGTGAATTTACCTGTCCCTTCCTCCCCCTCCCACCTGCTTGGTTCCTGTTCAGTTTTACTACCATATGTGCCTTTTTAAAGCTTGAGTCCTGGCTATATGTGTGCCTTCACCCAAATAGTGTTCCTAGTACTCATTAACTTGGTTTATTCTTGTCCCCTCCTGCCCCCTTCCCCCGGTAGCTTTCCACTGAGTTTTCCTTCCCTCTGTGCACATGTGTGCTCGCCGGTTAGTTCCAATTTAATAGTGAATACATGTAGTGTTTGTTTTTCCATTCTTACAACACTTTTCACTCAGGAGAATGGTTTCCAGTTCCATCCATATTGTTGAAAAAGGTATTATTTCATCTTTACACCTTCTTCTTTTTACTCATCTTTCCTTTATATTTTTAGAACTGACCCAATCACTACTATCACCACCAGCATCAAGATCATAATCAACACCACTGCAACAACTACTGCAAAACTCAAGTTGATACTTAAATCTATATTGTTACCTGCTTCACTTTCTAATATTTCTTGGGCCTATATCCCTGGTCCTTTTCAGTGAGAATGTATTCTTTTTTTTTATTTTTTATTTTTAATATTTTACGAGTCAAAGTGAGAATATATTTTGTTTCACCTAATTTAATTTTTTTGTACTCACTCTTTAAGCTAGTCAAATTGGATGTTTCATTCCACTAGATATAACTTATTCATTCCCATATCAAACTTTGTGTATAATTTCTGATCATATTTTCATAAGTGATCATGCTTCATCTCAACCAACAGTAATTAAATCCATTTACTAAGAGCCAGTTTATATGCAACATTCTATAAACATAATCTCATGACTATTTTATATCATAAGAATTCCTCCAACCATTCAATCTCTACCAAATGCATTGCTTTGTTTCTATATTAGACATTTACCACATGTGATTTCAAATTAGCTTCCAATTATTTCGTACATGAGTATCCCTTAACTAATTTGACTTTAACTGACTTTAAAATTGGCAATGCACCCTTCTCATATCCCAGTAAAGGTGGCCCAGCTGTGTTTAGACACAGAAGTACATAGTTAAATTTTGTTTAAACAAATAAAGTAATAGTTTAGAGATTTCTACTGCAGCCTATGCTTGCTAATGCCTAGCAAAACATAAAACTTACCACATCATCCAGGATCCCTTTTAAATGTTAATGTACAAATAGGTTTAAGGGTCATACTAAATACTGGGGTTTATTTAGAACTGATGAGTAAATGTTACTAAACTTGCAAGTATAGGAAGAGAGCTATATCATCCTATAGAGAATATTTATTCTAGCATTTGTCAAATGACTCAATTTGCAGTTATCTTTGTCCTGGATTTTCATTTATCCGTATGGTAGATTACCATCCTAGCCAGAAAGATATTCTGTAGAGTGTTCCTGCAGATCCAAAAGACATTTAAATATTGCAATTAAGTATGGCTCACCTTCCACTCCCCCCCTAAATCTTTTCAAGATACACATTTTTCCAGTATTTCCCCAGAGATGAAAAAAACAGCTTAATCTCTCACTTATGTATTATGATTCCCCATCATACTTAAACATTAGTTTCTGCAACACTATTCTTGGCTCCTTATTTAGGTTTCTGTATTCTTACCTTTTCCAAACTCTCCTTTCTCTTCCCTCTCTGAGGACTAAGAGGTTCTATGACTTTTCATTCTGAATATAAGGAAAACTTCAATTAAGTATCTGGTAAAGATAATATCCCACTCTGTTACTTTAGTGGAAATAATCAAACAGTGATTTTTTCATACTGTGTTATCTTCTCACCATGAAACCTCAGCCTTCTGAAAGGGTTGACAAGTGAAGTCAGCAGTGCAGTTCTACTCTCAGTCTCACCTTCCTTGGTGTAGGCAAGGAGTGGATGGATCCTTATGAGATGCTACAAACCTCTGATAGAGGGATCTGCCTTTCCTGAGTTATTTATTGCAACAAATAATGATTTGTAGGGGAGAGGTGCACAGAAGGAAGTTACCAGAATATTCTCAGGAGATAGAGTTTTCAATATGCTTCACATGATATAACACAAAACAAATTACTTGGAACTAAGGTGACTCAAAACTTGCTTTCCTCTATACTCCAGAGTCCTTATAATTAATCATATATTCAAGAATGAAGCCAGTTTTATCTCTGCTGTCCATCACAAACATGTGATGAGCTTTTCTTTAGAAGCAATTGGTCTTGATACCTATTAATAGTTTGGATCATTTTTTAGGTGAGTCATTTTGAAATATCATTCTCTACCTTCTTTTTGAGAAACTGGGAGTTGGAAACTATTTCTTTTCTAACTATTGCTACAAATTTCATTTATTATTATATTGTTTCACAGGACTGTAGTGCTGCCAATTTTTTGAGAGGTATAGGCCATTTTTTTTTAAATTTTAGCTTGAGTTAGTATGGCCTCCTTCAAAGTCTTGGTGTTCTCTTCTCTTCCCATAAAGTTGTCATTTATTCATTTTCCTGCTCTTATGCCTCCTGTCTGATTATTTTTTTAAAAAAGCAAGCAAACAAAAAGTCTCCGGTCTCAGTATTAAAACAACAACAACAAACAACA